CCGTGAGGACCGCCGGCCCGGCCACAGCGATGTGGATCTTGGAAAAGATCCGAGCGTCGCATGAAAGTGGAAACCTCCCTCGGTCCTCTTTCCTGGGACTGCCACCCGGCCAAAACCTGACCGAAAAGGCCCGGCTGGGGGCTGCTGCTTTTCCGAATGTGCTCACCCCGGACAGAATCCCCGAATTCTGCATTCCCCCCAGGCTGACCAGCTCTGGTCCCGTGAAGGGCACTGGCTCCCACCAGGACCTCTGTTCCGAGGACACAGACCCTAATCCTCCTGGCTACAGCCCCAGCTCTGCCTTGCCGCACCTCATTCAGGTGGAAAGCGTGGAAGAGGTGCTAGCTGTGGAGGAAGAAGGCACCAACTCGGACCCACAGTCCCAGGCAGCGCTGTCCCTGCCCCACTTCCCCAGAGCCCCCACGTCCTACGGCTTCTGCACTCTGCTGGAGAGCCCTCACACCCGCAGGAAGGAGTCCATCTTCCACGGCCACCCGCGTCGGGCTCTGCCCGGCCCGACGCTCTCCCGATCCAGGGCCAACACCTTCGTCGGCAAAGGGAGTATGTCTAACCCCATCGCCATCAGCTTTGCCTCCGGGAGGCTGGCTCCCAAGCCCCTCTCCCTGCACAGGCAGGGTGCCTGTGACAGCGACACTGCCTCCTCCAGCGACTCCTCACCTTTCAGCTCTCCGCTGCTCAGCCGGTCGCCTCCCAGACCTTGCTCCCTGGCCAAAATGCAAAGTCAGGAGGGGTTGCTCTGCCGAGCGCTGAAAGCCAGGAACAAATCCAGCGTGGCCAGGAACAATTCTCTCTCCACAGAGGAGAGCAGCTCCACTGATAACAGCCCCCGTGCCGTCAGACGGGCCACTGCTCGGAGAACGAGAGGCTGCGGATCCGCCTGATCAGCGCGGAGGGTTTGTACGATGACTCTGTAGAGCCCAAAACTATAAACTGCTGCATCACCTTCTCCCTGGTGCCGGGGAAGACGCAGAAGCAGAGAAGCACTGTTATAAAGAGGAGCAGAAATCCCATCTTCAATGAGGACTTCTTTTTCGATGGCATTGCAGAAGCAGAGCTACACAGCCTTGCTGTGAGGATGAAAGCGATGAATAAAGGGTGCAGCATGAAACGGGATTATGCCTTAGGGGAATGGCAGTTGTCTGTAATGGCTATGTTGTCAGTGTAATACTTCAAACGTTCAAACCGACTGATTTTGTCTTCTGAAAGTTTTCTACTAAACAAAATTGTGGGTTGATTTTATATCCTTTTTTTTTAATTAGTTTAAAGAATACTTTAAAGCACTGCATTGCTTGGTGTTACTTTCATGCTGTTGTGCCTTACTTTGCTGCTTAACGCTTCAAACTCTGTGAGGTATTTGCTGTTAAATTAAAAGGTGGCTGTGGAGCAGACGTTCTGCCTGTGGAGTGGGAGAGGAGGGCAGAAGAGCTGGTTTGCCTTTAGGATAAAGTATTAGGCAGTTACCAAGTCAAAGCTCTTTTTTTTTTTTACAGCTTTCAGGGCAGGGAAGCGTTGTTGTTCGCTGGCTCTGGTCCCTGGGCAGGCACGCAGCAGGCGCTGAGCTCTGCTGCAGCTCGCAGGTGCTACGTCGGTCAGGCAGACCACTCTGACAGTGCTCGTGTTTACCACAATGAGCGTTTGAATGCACGCTGTGTTCGGGGAGGGGGAGACAGGGGTATACACTTTGTCAGGGAATCAGCCCTGCTCTTCCAACGCAGGTGGAGGATTTGGATTCCCAAACCAGATGTAAGCTTGTGTTGAGGGTAAAAAGATGGACTTCTGAGCAGCAGCGAAAAGCCAGTGCAGGCGGAGCTCTCCTTCGCTGCCCAGACCTCTGCTGTCATCGGTGCCCAGCGAGGCAGCTCCCGCCCGGAGTTGCCAGGGAGCTGGTGGTTGCTGTAGCACAGTTAGCATCTCCGTTCACCCTTCTTTTCCATGGCCGATTTCACAGCTGGTGGGATGAAGTTGTCAGGTAATTGTGGTTTGGTCAGGAATGTACCCTGGAGCTATAACCCGCAGCAATCCAGCTATCGAATCCTTTCTGGAACTGGAGCAGACAGGATAAGATATCAGTGTGGCAAAGGACAGTCTGGGGTCTCCGGGTTAAATTCCTGCTTCACCTAATGACTTGCTGCATACCTTGCTCAGGTCATCGTGATGAAATCAGGATAATCTTTCTCTGTCCTGCACCAGCAAACAGTGAGTGGCTGAGGCATGTGCTTTAACACTACGAGAAACACAAAGGTGCAAAGCTCCTGCATGCTTGAGGCCACCTTACCTTTATTTTTCCCCCCCTGCTGAGCTGGACTAGGGGCTGGGTAAAACAGACAGATTCATAGGAACTGCAGCTGTGCAAGTGGGGTGAGGCAGAAATTTCGTCTTGGAAGTCCAGGCCTGTTGCTGCCTCCCTTGACTAAGTTGCAGGCTTCAATATGTGAAAGGCAGAGAAACCTCAACGGAGGAGCAACCCACACAGGCGTGGGGCACAAAAGAGGAAGGTTTGCTTCTGCCTTCCCTGCGGGGCTGTGGGAACAGGGCCTCGCTCGTGCCAAATCTGCAGCTGAAAGGCTCTTTCAAAAAGACTTCCAGCAGATCCTCCCCCTGCCCTGTTCCGGCGAGAGCACGGCTGCCAGCAGATCATGGCACTGTTCATGGTGGGTTCTGGTGTTCCTTGGCCACTGAGTCTGATTCAGACTGAAGTACCCCAGGCAGGATTTTTTTTTCTTCTGATAGCAGAAAAATCCCAAAGGATATTCACTGTGACCATGAGTGCTCAGAAATGCCTGCTGCTAATCCTTGATCTAGCTCATGTGAGACGCTTCTAAAGAGAGAATCCTCACACAAAGGACAACTTGCACAGGAGAATGGGTGGGTATATTCCCAGAAGCTGATTAAAATCACATGGAATAACAATCCCTTCGTGCTAAAGGGAAGAATTAAATGTACTGACACGCTGCGCAGCTGGAGCTGGTGCACTGACACTTGCACCCTTGAACCTGGGCAAACTGACGACAAGGGAAAGCCTAAAAGAAGTGGGGAGAAGCGAAATTAAAAAATGTGACTTGGAGGAAGAATCAATAATGCTGAAAAAAATTAGGCCTATTTAACTGGTTATTGCATGGGGTCTCCCAAAGGAGGGCGGAGGGTCCTCTTCAGGCCCATTGCTCATCCACCATCACAGTTTTAGTTCTCAGGACTGAAGGTCTGCTTGCAGGTACACCCACACGGAGAAGGAGGCTGAGACAGCACAGAGAGAACCGTTCTGCACGTCAGTGGATTGCGCAGAGCCGCACTGCAGCGGGTACCTGTCTCCCCTGCGATACGTGCCATGCCAGGGCAGTGCTGCGGACGCAGCGTGACGGAGCAGTGGGTGGGAAGGGGCCTCTGGAGACTGTCTCGCCAGGCTCCTGCTGGGTTGAGAGGGTCTCCGAGGACCAAGGCTCCACAACCTGCTCCGGAACGCTGCTCCAGTGTTTTACCACCCTAACAATAAAAAAGTTTTTCCTCCCACTGAAGTGGAATTCCCTGTATCTCCATTGCGCTCATTGCCTCTTGTCCTGCCACTGGATACCCCTGAGCAGAGCCTGGTTCCATTATCTTCACTCCATCCCATCAGATACTCAGATACATCAAGGACATCTTCCCTGAGCCTTCTCTTCTGCAGGCTGACAGACACAGTATAATTACTGGCACAAAAGAAAAGTGCTTGCAGAGCCTCATCCTTCATCCTGGGAGAAAGCCCTCCCTTCCCGTCACAGGAAAATGAGTTCCAGCTGGGCTCATTGTCCTGGGTTTGGCCAGGACAGGGTTAATTTTCACCGGACTCCAGGAAGGGGCACAGCCGGGGGGTGGGGGCTGACCCCACCTGGCCAAACAGAGCCCGGTATTCCATACCATGTGACGTCACGCTGGGTTCCGGTGGGGGAGGGGGTGCGGGGGGAAGGCACTCGCGGCTTGGGCGGGCGCAGCGTCGGTCCTGTTTCGGGAGAGCGGCTGTTGTACGGTTCGTGGTTGTGTTTTCTCCTTATTTGTATCGTTGTTGTTCCTGTTTTCCCTCTGTTTGCTGTTCTGTTA